GTGTTTGGATCATTCAAGAACACCTCAAGACAGTCAATAAAATCGGTTCCGTTGAATGGGTCCCCTCCAATGCCAACGCACAATGACTGACCAAGGCCTGTCTACAAGAAAAACCTTGAATTCTAGAAAAATATAGAAATACTCCTGCTTGGATTAAAGATTTAGGTTCGCTACTAAGCCATCACTAAACGACGCAAAATAAATTTTAATAATAAATCGGAGCAATACCAAGACCTACCACAGTCGTCTGATGCACAGCTTCATATGTCAAAGTGCCAGATCTTGACACAATGCCTACATGACCTGGAGCGTGACTGTTACCAGGCATGATACCGATCTTGCAAACACCTGGCTTGATTATTCCAGGACAATTAGGTCCTAACAAGCGAGACTTAGACTACAACAAAACGTAGACTCTAAACTCCCCACCTACCTGACGAACAAGGCGATGCTTAACGCGGATCATGTCGTGCTGAGGAATCCCCTCGGTAATACAAACGATGAGAGGCATTTCGGCTTCCATTGCTTCATCAATTGCCCTTGCGGCGAATTGGGGTGGAACAAAGATGACTGTGGCGTTGGCGCCCGTTGCCTCCCTTGCCTCGCCAACAGTATTAAAGACTGGAAGATCTAAATGAGTTTTACCACCTTTTCCAGGAGAGACTCCTCCCACTAGCTTGGTGCCATATGCCAAGGTCTGCTGAGAATGAAAAGTCCCCTGCTTGCCTGTAAAGCCCTGGCAAATGACTTTTGTGTTCTCATTCAAAAGCAAATTTTTGCGTGTCGACGCATAATTTGAGCGTGCGAACTGCGAAAGAACTGGAGAGGAAAAGACGTTCTGGAGAGGTAAGTAACTATTTCGACCTAGACAGCGAATCGAAAGATCATAACCCCTAAACACTTCGTACCGACGCGTGGAAAAAATGTTAGACGGTAACACTCTCTTAATTTATTTGAGCACTAATCGTATGCCCATATAGACCACGCGCGTACAGGGATTCTAGTGCGTATCCTACGCCCTCCCAAATTTTTCCCCCAAATCCAAATAAATTTACAGTCATGTAAACAAATGAAAATAATTGAAGGCATAAATATGATCTAAACTAGGAAAACCCACCAGACGAAAGAGAGAGCCGACCAACCGCCTTGAACATCTTTAGATTGACCCGCGCTATGCCATTATCCGATGTAACAAAACAATTTACTGAGGTAATTGCCAGTTTAGTACCTGTTTTTTGGCCTAATTTATCATTGAAAACACAATGTAAAGTTATTTCCTATATCTTCAACGGTTGACCAATTTTGACCGATTGGAACAAAATGTTTGCATTCCCATTGGCGCGTGAGAATGCGCATCAGCGGGGACATGTCCAGCGGGACACCGTACTCATCAGCTTTAGAGATGTGCGAATGCAAAATGGGAACTGAGGGCAATGAGGCGGTTGGTAAGGAAAATGTGCTCCCGACGTTGGAAAAGGCTTCCCTCCAAATGCTCTCAGATCTGCGCAATAGGTGTGAAGAACTCGATGATGCTCTGGCGATGCTAGACTCGACAAAAAAAGAAATAGAAGGACAGATAAATCAGTGTTTCCAAACTATACTGCGTACGTTGGAGGAGCGTCGATTGGTTTTGTTTAGTGACCTAGAATCTTCTCTACAGAAACGACGATACATAATTGAGGAGCTGATGAAGAATATGGAAGAACGCAGTCAGAAGCTCACCGTTACAACAGAACTAATTAAGCAATACCACATTCACGAGAAAAGTCTCTGCAATGGTGAAAATATGGAAAAGTATGAAGAGGCAAGTCATGAGATAAGAAGACGTAATGCTGAAGATCAGCTGCGTTTCCTTCTCGGGATTCCAGTACCGATTCATCCCTCGACCACCGATATATTGTCCTATTTTCCTATCGATTTGGACAAACTTTTGAGCCTTGTAAAAAACTTTGGTGCTATAGGAATGACTAGTGTCGATTCCGATCAAACAAGTATCGTGGAACCCGAGTCAGGGGGTAGTCATGTTATGCGATGCGTTGTAAACGAAGTCTACTTTCAGAAGGTGCTCGCAGTGGACAGTCAAGGTAGGATTGTGGGAGCCGTTAATCCGAAAGAGTTCTCTGTCAGTCTCACGCATCGGCCGGTTCATATGAATGAGGTGTCTGTTATTGAGCCACAATCCAAAGCCGAGTCCTCGGCCTTCGACAACTCGGTACTAATTCGTCTGAAATTAGCCAATCCTGGATTTTATGAACTTAATGTCAAGGTTCTCGGTGAGCACATACGCAATTCACCGTATCGAGTTCACTGCCTACCCAGAATGGGACGTGCAGCAGAGGACTGGAAGATGGTTTTTACTGAACTAAGCGAACATATTGAACTGCGTCGCGGTCCTCTGCAATACATCAAAAGAAGTACTTCGGAGCTGCACTTACCGAGATTGCCACCACCTCCGCAGGCATTGGCAGATGAATTATCTTGGAACAAAAACGGCCTGATCTTTGCCATAGGTGCGCGAGGCAGAGGTGTATCAGAATTTGCCTGTCCCCAGGGAGCAATGTTCACAAGGGATACCAAATTGGTCATTGTTGACAGCAACAATGCGAATGTACAGGTAATGAAACTGGAGTGGA